ATGCGCCCCCAGGCCTGTTTCCGCACGCCGCGAACACGCTTCCTGGCTCCATAGCCAACGGAGCTCCAGCGAAGGCCGTTCCTTCACACCTCTCACACGTTTCGTGGTCCCCTGGGGAGCTCCACTGAAGGCCCTAGCGGCAACGCCGACATGCGTCCCCAGGCCCAGATCGGCACACCTCTCACACGTCTCGTGGGCCCGCAGGGAGCTCCACCGAAGGCCCCAGTGGCAGCGCCCGCATGCGCCGCCCCCCCCCCCTCCCGCCCACATCTGCACACCCTTCAGATTGATCGTGGCCCCGTAGGCCCATAGGGAGCTCCACCAAAGGCCTCAACGGCAGCGCCCGCGTGCGTCCCCAGGTTCATTCAGCACCGTTATCACACATGTTGCGTGGCCCCATAGAGAGCCCCACTGACGGCCCCAGTGGCAGCGCCCGTATGCGTCGATTTCTTTTCGAACCTGTGTTATTGCTGCACTCCTCTGTTTATGAACCTGGTTTTTCGCATTGCTTCTGGCAAGAAATACGTAGGTCACTTCATTTTTTGTTCACAGGCCCATCGGGCGATCGTCTTTCAAGGGCCTGCTTCCCGCATCGAGACAGAGTGCCTTCAGGGACGTATGAGAAGGGGTCTTGGGACAGGGGGAGTATGGCATCGTTGATGCCCCGTTGGTTTACTTTGGCCCTCTCTTCTGATCCTCCTCCCTTCTCCTCTCTTCTTCTCGAAGAAGGGAAAATCACCTCCATAAACATGAACTTTTGGAGCTCCGCGCGGATTTCTTGGATCCGCGCTGGGCCCCCTCGTCGGCGCCTCCGGCGCCGCCCCTGGCGCGCTCCGCGCGCCAGGGAGGAGGGTCCGGCGCAGAACCTGGAAATCCGTGCTGAGCGCCAAGAGTTCATGTGTATGGCGTTTTTTCTCCTCCTACCTTCCCCCCCCCTCCCCTCCTTCGAGGGTGTTGGCCAGGTATTCATGGCCCAGCGTGCCTCGCCCCCCCGATCGTGCTGATGTTCTTCACGGGGCGAAGCGTTTGAACACTAATTCGAAATCGGGCCCGTCCCTCTACAGGAGGAATATTCAGAAGTAGTCAAAAAATAAACGATTTTCGATTCTTTCTGACCATTTTCCCCCAATCAGTGCTTCCACTGAAGTCCTAGCGGATGTTGAAGGATTTGGGGAAAGTTCCCCGCCGATTTTGGTGACAGGCTGGGTTCCCGGGTTCCCGGGTTCCCGGTTCCGGGTTCCCAGGTTCCCGGTTCCGGGTTCCGGGCCGATTTCGGAGGGCGGCGAGGTTCCCGGGTTCCTGGTCGATCTTCTTATCGATCGGTCTCACCATCGATCTCATTACCGACTTTTCGATCGATCTCACCATCGATCTCACAATCGATCTCATTATCAATATCACAAGCGATCTCACTAGAGATCGCATGAGCGATCTCGCGATCGATCTCACTATCGATCTCATTGAATCGATTTCACTCTTGGTCTCACGATCGACCTTACAATCGTCCTCACTACCGATTCCACTATCGATCTCATATCTCATTCTCGATCTCACAATCGATCTCAATATCCATAGTATCAATTTTGAAATCATCCACTGGTTGGGTTTTCTCAGGTGTAATTTTCTAATATTTTGAATATGTTTAACTTTGTTCCCGGAAAGGGCTGAAACCCAGGGTTCTCTTTTAGTTGTTTACCCCCACGGTTGACGGTTGTAGGGCCAGCGAACTTATTTGCGATGAATATCTAGGATGTCCCGAGCGAAACGCTTGTGTTGCAGAACAGTTTGAGGATGTCTCGAGCGAAACGCTTGTTTTGTGTTATGGATTGTCTTCTCCCGGGGACCAGAATTCAGAAGATCTCTCGAGTGAAATGGTTGTTTTCACGTGCCCAGGTCTTGAGGATGTCTCGAGCGAGACGCTTGGTGTCACGCCTCCAGGTTGCCCAGGCCGAGGTCTAGCACCAGGATTTGTTGAGGATGTCTTGAGCGAGACGCTTGTTTTCACCCGTCCTCGTCGCCCAGGCGGATGTCTAGCATGAGGATGTGTTGAGGAAGTCTCGATCGAGACGCTTGTTTGCACGTGTCCAGGTTGCCTGGGCGGATGTCTAGAATGAGGATGTGTTGAGAATGTCTTGAGCGAAACACTTGTTTTCACGTGCCCAGGTCGCCCAGACGGATGTTTCACATGAAGATGTGTTGAGGATGTCTCGAGCGAGACGTTTGCTTTCACGTGTCCAGGTCGCCCAGGCGGATGTCTAGCATGAGGAGGTGTTGTGAACGTCTCGAGCGAAACGCTTGTTTTCACGTGCTCAGGTGACCCAGACGGACGTCTAACATGAACAGGTGTTGAGGATGTCTCGAGCGAACCACTTGTTTTCACGTGTCCAGTTCGCCCAGGCGGATGTCTAGCATGAGGATGTGTTCAGGATGTGTCGAGCGAAACGTTTGTTTTCACATGTCCAGGTCGCCCAGGCGAATGTCTAGCATGAGGATTTAAGCAGGGTGTCTCGAGCCAAACGCTTGTCCCCCTAGCACGTCGCGTGGCGCGTCCCCTTGGCACGTCCCGTGGTGCGTGCCCATGGCACGTCCCCTGGCACGTCGCCTGGCGCGTCCCTTGGGACGTTCCGCGGCGCGTCCTCCTGGCATGTCCCCCAGTCCATTAGTTCTGGGGCAGCTACGATGTGCTCAGGCAGCTCAAGCTTAAGATCCAGATCAGTTCGGTCAGGACTCGGATGCAAATGAGGACTCGGTCCACAACGCTGTAGAGCGCATTCGCGGCATGGCACATCGCAATTCAGCACGACGCAGCACAGCACAGCCCTCGGCACGGTACAGCAAGATCAATACACTCAGCATTGCAACTTGGCACGCTCCCTGGCACGTTCCGTGGCGCGTCCCGTGACGAGTCCCCCTGGCGCGTCGCGTGGCGCGTCCCCTGGCACGTCCCGTGTCAAGTCCACTGGCACGTTCCGTAGCGCGTCTCCTTGGCACGTCCCGCGGTGCGTGCCCATGGCACGTCCCCTGGCGCGTCGCCTGGCGCGTCCCTTGGGACGTTCCGCGGCGCGTCCTCCTGGCATGTTCCCCAGTCCATTAGCTCTGGGGCAGCTACTATGTGCTCAGGCAGCTCAAGCTTAAGATCCAGATCAGTTCGGTCAGGACTCGGATGCAAATGAGGACTCGGTCCACAACGCTATAGAGCGCACTCGCGGCATGGCACATCGCAATTCAGCACGGCGCAGCACAGCACAGCCCTCGGCACGGTACATCAAGATCAATACACTCAGCATTGCAACCTGGCACGCTCCCTGGCACGTTCCGTGGCGCGTCCCGTGACGAGTCCCCCTGGCGCGTCGCGTGGCGCGTCCTTTGGCACGTCTCGTGACACGTCCATTGGCACGTTCCGTAGCGCGTCGCCTTGGCACGTCCCGCGGTGCGTGCCCATGGCACGTCGCTTGGCGCGTCGCCTGGCGCGTCCCTTGGGACGTTCCGCGGCGCGTCCTCCTGGCATGTCCCCCAGTCCATTAGCTCTGGGGCAGCTGCTATGTGCTCGGGCAGCTCGAGCTAAAGATCCAGATCAGTTCGGTCAGGACTCGGTTGCGAAGGAGGACTCGGTCCACAACTCTATAGGGCACAATCGCGGCGTAGCACGTCGCAATTCAGCACGGCGCAGCGCAGCACAGCCTTCGGCACGGTACATCAAGATCGATACACTCAGCATTGCAACCTGGCACGCTCCCTGGCGCGTCACGTGGCGGGTCCCCCTGGCATGTCGCGTGGCGCGTCCCCTGGCACTTCCCGTGGCACGTCCATTGGCACGTTCCGTAGCGCGTCCCCTTGGCACGTCCCGCGGTGCGTGCCCATGGCACGTCCCCTGGCGCGTCGCCTGGCGCGTCCCTTGGGACGTTCCGCGACGCGTCCTCCTGGCATGTCCCCCAGTCCATTAGCTCTGGGGCAGCTGCTATGTGCTCAGGCAGTTTGAGCTAAAGATCCAGATCAGTTCGGTCAGGACTCGGATGCGAAGGAGAACTCGATCCACAACTCTATAGAGCACAATCGCGGCATGGTACATCGCAATTCAGCACGGCGCAGCACAGCACAGCCCTCGGCCCGGTACATCAAGATCGATACACTCAGCATTGCAACCTGGCACGTTCCCTGGCGGGTCACGTTGCGAGTCCCGTGGCGAGTCCCCCTGGCGCGTCGCGTGGCGCGTCCCCTGGCACGTCTCATGACACGTCCATTGGCACGTTCCGTAGCGCGTCGCCTTGGCACGTCCCGCGGTGCGTGCCCATGGCACGTTCTCTGGCGCGTCGCCTGGCGCGTCCCTTGGGACGTTCCGCGGCGCGTCCTCCTGGCATGTTCCCCAGTCCATTAGCTCTGGGGCAGCTGCTATGTGCTCGGGCATCTCGAGCTTCAGATCCAGATCAGTTCGGTCAGGACTCGCTTGCGAATGATGACTCGATTCTCAACACCATAGAGCACAATCGCGGCATGGTCAATCGCAATTCAGCATGGCGCAGCACAGCACAGCCCTCGGCCCGGTACATTTTAGATCGATACATTAAGCGTTGCAACCTGGCACGTTCCCTGGCGCGTCACGTGGCGAGTCCCCCTGGCACGTCGCGTGGCGCGTCCCCTGGCACTTCCCGTGGCACGTCCATTGGCACGTTCCGTAGCGCGTCCCTTTGGCACGTCCCGCGGTGCGTGCCCATGGCGCGTCGCCTGGCGCGTCCCTTGGGACGTTCCGCGGCGCGTCCTCCTGGCATGTCCCCTAGTCCATTGGCACATCGCAATTAAGCACGGCGCAGCACAGCACAGCCCTCGGCACGTTACATCAAGATCGATACATTCAGCGTTGCAAGAGCCCGTCGCCCAATCTGGTGTTTTTGACAATGTTGCCATTCCTACATTTCTATATTCCTTTCCGGATCATGTTTGTTTTCTTCCAAAATCCGCATGTAGGAGGAAACGCCCGACCTAACACTCATTCCATTGCCCAGGTGGCGAACCGCTTTCCCCTACAGTTCGAGAACTTGTGGAGAAGTGCCATGACGAGATGTTCCCGACGGATCCGTTGGACGAGTTGGTGATTTCCGAATTACGAAATCATGACATCGTTTCAATGCGTGATCTCAGCATGCCCCCCAGCGAAGGACTTCTAAAGAGTCCTGTATGGTCGCTCGTTGAGCTGATGCAGAAGAAGGCTGCGGTTCAAAAATTCGTCGACCCTGGCGCCTGGAGCTTAGAAGGTCTTGATCCGTCGGTCAGGCCTCGATCAGGCAGATGATCAGGCCAATTTTCTGATTTATCGGTATCAATGCGCTGGGGGATGGATGGGGCTGGCCAGCCTTGATTGGAGGGGGTCTCTCTCCATCCCTTCCTCCTCCCCCGTTCTCATTCATTCCCCTTCCAACCCTTTCTCTGCGGCGAAAGCCGAACCCTACCCCCGCCTCCCATGGCGACGGGGGTCGGGCTCAGAATCCGTCGAATACGTGGTGAAATCCGAATCCCACCCCCGCCTCCCATCGATTCAGGAGATTCGATGGTCGGTGGCTGTAGGGTTCGGATGTCGACACCTGCTAGACATCCAACGTCTCGAACAAATAAGCAAGACGAATAATTGTCGCTGGTATCGGTTCGTGGAGGACCTCCTGGCATCCCGTATGGAAGAAATCAAGACATCGGATCTCTGGGGAGAGGGCCCCCATCGGGCTCCTCCGAGGCTTCTGGAGGCCTTCGGAGGCCTCTGGAGGTCTTCGACGGCATCTTTCCTCATCCTGCCCCGTTCCCGGTGCATCCCTCTTCTTCTCTCAAGGGAGGGAAAACCACCCGGACCGGACAATTGGCGTTTACCAAACGGCCCTGGGCGTTTACTAAATAGCCCTGCCCTGTTTGATCCCTTCTTTGGGCGCGTTCACTAAACAGTTTCGCGTGTCGGGGCGGCTCTTCTCGGGGTGGATGTTCTGCCCTCCATACTCTCTGCCCCCAGGGCCGGCCGCCTCGCGATCTCACCTCGTGCTCCGAGGCCAGGAGCGCCAAGCGTGCCCGCACGGCCGCGGACGCGGAGAGTGGGCCGGGCCCCCGCCACGGAGGGCCCGCACCCGGGGTGGTGCAGTTCTGCACGGCGAGGGACGCCCGGCTGGACGACATCCATCTCGGGGACGCGGTGATCAGGGGCAGCGCCACAGGGGGACCTGAACGTCGGAGGAGGACAAGGTAGCCGTACCTCTGCCCCCCAGCCCGGTTTTCCCCTTTTTGGGCCTCCTGGGCGGCCCTCGTCGCCGCCGCTGGATTCGCCCCGAAATCTTGGTCAGAACCCACTCCATGAGAGGCCCAGGGAGCAGCGGTATCGGTACCTTTTGATTCCCCCAGATCAGGGGCAAGGCCAGAGGGGGGCCTGAACCGTGGGGGGGTTCGGGCGCTTTCGTTTATTCCCAGAGGATTGGAGAGGCCTGACGGCCGGTGCCGCCGACCCTGATCGAAAGGGCTAGGAGTGGGAGGAGGAGGAGGAGGAGGAGGAGGAGGAGGAGGAGGAGGAGAGGTAGGAGAGGGAGGGCGGGAGAGAGAGGAGAGGAGGAGGAGAGAGGAGGAGGAGGAGGAGGATTCCCGGAGGATTTCCTGCCTCGGGGTGCGGCTCGAGCTGCGCCTCGCCGAGAGGCGTCCCGAGGAGCCCGGATCGCCCCGAGCGGCCGCTGGAGGCCCGAGGCATGGCCCGAGAAGCAGACGACGCGGACCAATGGGAGGGATAGGCTGGGGGGGTGCAGACGCCCCCGGTCGCCCATTCTGTGAAAGGCAGGGATCCGATAGGCCACCCCTTCCAAGGAATGTGCGGATTCATCGTCGGGGGCTTGTCGCCGATGTTTCGGTGACCCATCGCCCAGTGCAGGTCGATGTTTCCCCCCTCTGAGCCAGTCCCCCCGATCGTTGACTTTCAGGTGACGACGAACCACACGCGGAACCGCCGCATGAAGTACCTGCGCAAGCCAGAATGGATCGCGACGTTCTGCGGCGCGTTCCGAATCAATCCTCCTGCCAATTTGACCGAGCGACACCTCAGGCATGAGAAGTTCAAGGACATGAAACAGTTTGAATACTTCCTCTGGGAAGACATCTGTAACCAGCCGCTCTTCGACTCCATCAGTTTTGAGATCTGTCGTAAACTCAACGTCCTTCAGGACGATTTTTGGTTCGAGACAGACCAAGGACATCGCCTGCGCAATGTCGACGGAATCCTGGATAAGTTCAAGTATCTCGACGGAGAGACATCCCATCGGGACAAGGAACATCCCCCAGAGTTTCACGGCAAGCCTGTGATTGACATCCACGTCGTAGTGAAGCGCTGGGAGTGAGCAGCGACCACCGGTTTTCTTTGCAGTTTCGAGTTCAGACGCCAGGGACGCCAGGGAGGGAGGAGGGAGGAGGAAGGATGGAGGAGCGAGGGGGGAAGGAGGGGGGGGGAAGGAGGGGGGGTAAGCAATACCTCGATAATGCGGGAGACCAGCAATAGGAGGAGGAGGAGGAGGAGGAGGAGGAGGAGGAGGAGGAGGAGGAGGAGGAGCACGAGGAGAAGAAGGAAGAGCGGTGGCAAAGGGGCAGGAGGCGGGGTCGGGCTCGCGCACTTAGGAGGCCGATCCCTGTACATAGAAGGGGCCGCGCGGCACAGCCGCGAGTTCGCGCCTGCTTAGATATGCTGGGGCACCTCATCCGGTCGAGGCGCACGGGGGACTGCTTAGACCGATGGGTGGTCCCCGCGGTGTGGACGGGTGTGCCCAGGGCAAACTGTTCGCTCGCGGGGCTAGGAGCCCTCTGGAGGAATAGTGAGGAGGATGGGATGATTGTGATGATGCTGATGCTGATGCTGATGCTGATGCTGATGATGATGACGACGATGATGATGATGATGACGATGATGATGATGATGATGATGATGGTGATGATGATGCGCATAGGGTAGAGGAGGACGAAGAGGAGGACAAGGCGGTGGTATTATGATGGTGATGGTGAAGATGAAGATGATGAAACTGATGATGATGATGATGATGATCATCATCATCATCCTCCTCATCATCATCAGCAGCATTATCATCGGCATGAGCATGATTATGAGCGAGAGGATGATCATGCGGATCATGATGAGGATGAGTACGAGGATGGTGGTGTTGATGATGATGCTGCCGATGATGATGATGGTGGTCATGATGATGATGATGATGCTGATGCTGATGATGATGATGATGCTCATGATGAGGATGATGCTGATACTGATGAGGATGATGATGCTGATAACGAGAATACTGATGATGCTCATGCTGGCGATTATTATGATGAGTATGATGCTGATGATGGTGATGATGATGCCGATGTCGACCATGCTGCTGATGGTCACGATGCTGATGCTAAGGATGATGCTGATGATGCTGTTGCTGCTGATGCTGCTGCTGATGATGATCATGGTGATGGTGATGCTGATGTTGCTGATGCTGATGCTGATGGTGCTGCTACTTTGGTGATGCCGACGATGATGCTGATGATGATGACGATGATGTTGATGATGATGTTGATGATGATGATGCTGCTGGTGAAGCTGATGCTGATGAGGATGATGCTGGTGATGATGATGATGATTGTCGTGATTAACGTCGACGCTGTATTATGCTGTGCTGCGCTCGTCCGTCGAGCATGATGGCGCCAGCCCGTGCTGGCGAGCGTGTCTGCCGCGCTCTCTGCACAATAGAGGGGGCCCCCTCCTCGATCCCATACAGCCGCGGAGGCGGCGGCAAAAGAGAGAGTGAGGAAGGAGAGGTTGACTCAAAACTTCGCTCGAGTCGCCTCGGCTCGACATGAGCCTAAAATCCTTCTCAACCGTTCCGACCGAACTGGATCAAAAGAGGGGCCCTGCACAGTACGAATATGAAAAGGAATGATGAGAAAAGAGCCCGACCCTATCCTCAAGATAGGTCGAGAAAAGCTAAAGCGTCGGCGGCCTCGGCTTCAGCGTCTGCAGATGCCTGCGGCTTGTCCTGAGCGAGTTTGTTGGCTCGCTGTCGCTTCCTGGCTGACATGAAATCCTCGTCGTACCTGATGATCCAGGTACGCCGTGCAAGCCACAGAGCCAGAGGCTTCCTTGCCTCGGGACTGTCCTTCGTGAGGCCGTCGGTGAGATTGAGGTCCGAGGGGACCCAAACCAGGTGCTGGTTCTTCTCGGGCCCGCAGTTCGCCTTCACATGTAGAACCTCCACGCCGGTCCTCGCATCACTCAGGCCTATGCCGAAACTCTCCTTGTTGTGAACTGAATCATAAACTCCTCGGCTGTCGATCACCAGCACCGAGGTCATGGATTGCGCCACCTCCTCCTGAGTGTGCGCAGTGACTGGAACTCCGTGCATGACTGACCATAGCATGCGCATCAGGTACGCCGCGTTCTCGCCGTCGTACAGAGCCTGTCCCTCGCAGCCGTTGGTGCCGATGCCGGTGCGCTTGAGCTTGTACGATCTCCAGTCGGCGATCGATACTGCACATTCCTTCTGCTTGAGGATCTCGGCCGTGGTGAACGCCACGATGTAGCCTCCTCGTTGTAGTAGTCTGCTTGCGTCGACCCACGTCACGATCACTAGGTCGTCCCACTTCAGCTTACTGCCACCGTTGCTATTGAAGTTGTGGAACACCAGGGAATCACGAGCTGTCCGCTTCACATCGCGTATGAGGGCGCTCGTGTCCTTTAGGTCTCCGAACGTCGCCTCGTTCACCCGTTGAGCCAACAGTGACACCCGACATGAGAACTGTGGTGCTGTCTGTGTCGCTCTCCATTGGCATTTCATCAGGCCTGCCCTGAACTGGGTGACGTCCTCCGGCTTGAGCTTGTCATCCTTCGAGAGGTACTTGCCGGACTCGACCCTGATCTCGAGGAGCTGGTGACAGAACTCCTCCTGGCTAGCATGGATCTTGCCCGATGGCTCCTGGGTGATCCACATGCCTGCCCACATGCATGGCGTGCTTCGCCATGGAGACCACCGCAGCATCTCCTTCAGCATGTTCTTCATGTCGAGGTAGAACTTGTTGTCGCTGTCGCCTGCGATGCCAAAGTCGTCCACGTGCGAGCCAATGACCCCGCACACGGTGCCGTTCTGGTCCTGAATGATCCAGATGCATGGCTCGATGACGTGGATCTTGTGGTCCACGTACTTCCAGAAAACCCACGGCGCATTCGTGATCCCGTAGATCGCTGCCAAGACTCTCATGGACTCCTCCTCGTTGATCTGCAAGGCCTGCCGGAGCTCCTTCACGCCCTTCGTGTAGAGCTTCCTCCACTCCTCGGTGTGCCCGGCCTGCAGGAAGGCGGACTTCGCGTCGGCTAGCTCGAAGGTCCAGCCGTGGAAAGCAGCCATCTGGAGGAGTGCCAGCTTCCCTTTTCTTGAAATGGTTGGTGACGCCGTGGGAAGTACCCGATCTCCGAACTTGTCCCGACTGACAAGGTCTGGATGTGAGAAGCCCAACAGAATGATACGGGCCTTCGCCTTGAACTTCCCGTCTGGCGTGCTCACGGGGTGTGGGTCCGACTTGTCCGGTGGTTCAGGTGGTGTCAAAGGCTTCCAGGTCAGTAGCCACCTCATCTTGATCAGCTTGTCCGCTGGAATGTCTTTTCCATGATTGTAGTCAGCGTAAGCCGATGCAGCCCGGACTGTCGGTACTTCCAGATGTTCCGCCAGCTCCCGTGCCATTGCTTCTTGAAACAGTGGCTTCTCCTCGGGGCTCAGGCGGCCAAACGAAACCTCCACACCCTTCTTGACCGTGTTGTTGGCCACTCGGTTCAGCTGCTTCTCCAGGTACGCGCTCGCATCGAAGCAGAACTCCTCAAGGTCCGTCTCGATCTCAATCTTCATCAGGTCCATCTCGGCCTCGTTGTTCGGATCCTGCACGAAGTTGATGATGTCGGTCTCGCTGGCTTCCACATGGTCGCTCGCCGCCTTGAAGAGGGCAGCGTGAGCAACTTCAGCTGAGGCTCTTGATGAAGATGATCTCCCAAAACGCGGTTGGAAAGCTTCAGTCGGTACAGGTGGCCACGACACAGTCGGTTGCTTGCCTCTCAATCTTGTTCGCTTAATCTGTGGTGGCTCTGGTGCTGAGTTGTCCTCGTCGACCTCCAGGTCGTCATCTGCCTCCGTGACGTCGTGGGGTTCCACGGCCACATCGGGATTCTCGATCACCCTCGGCATGCCCTCAAGAGGTTGACGTGGTAGCATCCTCATGCCATCTGCCGTTGGGGAGGGCTCCCCGGCGATGTCGTCAAAGTCCTGGAGGTGCCTCCAGACGTCCTCGAGCGGACTGTTGAGAATGTCGTCCTTCTTCAGGTTGATCTGGGCGATCTCCGACTGCGTGGCTGGCCGCAGTTGCTCAGCTGCACAGCGCCAGCATCGGTTGCCCATGATGACCCAGATCACGCCGTCCTTGTTACCTGTCTGGACCGCCGGCTCGGAGAACAGAACTCTGCCCGGTCCGATGAAGAGGCCGTCCGTGAAGAAATCCTGTCCGGAAAGCTTTCGCTTCCCTGTCGCAGCGTACGACCGCCAGACACAGACCCAGTCGCCTCGCTTATATTCATGTCGAGGTCGTGGGGCTGAGTTCTTCAGCTCTGAGATCTTCCTGGACGCCTTCTCCTTCAGGTAAGTCGCCTCTGCATCCGCTCGTACCCGCTCGATCTCGAAGAAGTCGGACTTCAACTTGCCAGTAGCTGCGTTATGCGCCAAGATTGGGTCCTCGGTGGGAGAGAACCCGAAAGCCCACTGCATCGGCGTGTAGCCCTTGATGTTGTCCATGTTGTTGGCCGCCGCAATCGAGATGTAAAACACGGTCTCGGGACTCAGCTTCGGGTATTGTAGGCGAAGCTTCCTCATTACCTGCTTGACGGTCGAGATGCGGCGCTCGATGTCGCCAGCCATCCAATGTGCTCCTCCTGGTTTCGCTGAGACGCCGATGCCGGCCAGCTGGCAGTTGTCTTTAAACTCGCCGCCCACAAAAGATGGCTGAGGATCGACGAAAACCCACCTTGGCTTGGGATAGTGTTGAAGGTAGGCTCTGGCAAACGTCGTGAACAGTGTAGCTGACGAGTCCGTGCCTTTATCTTTGAGGCCGATCTTCGCAGTGATGTCTCCACACATCAGGCCGGTGGCGACCTCTGCGATGAGAAGAAACCTGGCCTTCACATTCAAGTCCGGGAACGTCAGGTCGGAAACGTCCATGACGGCTGCCTGCCAAGGTGCCATGGGGATGTCGAGGCTCGCCTTGACCTTGTGGGTGAGGCCGTGCTTGACCAGGTCGCATGCCTCGCAGCGTAGGTTGATCGCTTCCTCGATGATCCAGCGTGGACACTGTCGCTTCTTGCACCAGTAGGCCAAGTGCTCGTTCCCTGGGTGCCTTGCAGCCTTGTGGATCCTGCTCAACATCGCCCGCACCTGTTCCCTTTCGGGCTCCGTGGGGTCAGCGACGTAGATGCTCTCGGTGTCCCGCTCCATCAGGTAGGCATTCTCGAGGTCGAGAACAGCAGGGTTCTCCAGGGCCATGTTGAGGTCGATCGGGGTCCGGAGTTGAGCGTGCCATAGTCGGGCAATTGCCTTGCACATCGCCTGCGGGTAGTAGGCTGTGGCTGCCGTGTGTAGCTTCCCGCTGATGACTCGGTGGCCGTGTGAGTGGTCACACACGGTCGCGACCTTGGAGAACTCCGGGTCGGTGGTCATGATCCTCCAGCCCTTCTCGACGAGCTCGTTAGTGTTGTAGTCCCTGAGGCCGTACATGCACCCGTCGATCCGATCCTCGAAGA